ATTCTATACAGAAAAAATTTGCCAAAAATGAATTATAATGTACAAGCATCTTTCTTTTTACATGTAGATGCAAGATTTCATTCTGAGTGGCACAATATCTTTAAATTGTTAACTATAATTCCTTTCCATTCTTATAGGATAATGAAGAGTAATAAAAAAGAGAGTTCTATGAAATATTTTAATTTATACACATTTTAGAAAACAATTTGGTAAATGAGAAACAGCAAGGCATCTTTTTCAACATGTTTTCCAACAACTCCAGGGCAAGTCTGATGCTGCTCATCCTTAGCATTACAATTTAACACTTACTCTCTCCAACTTTCTCCTCATTTTACTGTTTTGTATATGTACGTAATTGAAGTAGGTCTTGCATTTCTTTCCCACTGATGTTATTAGTCATGGCAATGAACTTACCCATGACAATAACTCCACAACATTTTCAACCCTGTTACTATAATTCCAACAGCATCTGGGTGGAAATGTGCTAAAAATTACCACAGTTTTGGGGTTTTTTTCATTTACAACCCTTATTAATGTTTATATGCATTTTTAATAGGCGGTTTCTATGGTACCAAAAATACGCAAAGTGTTTCTTAGTCAAGTAGCAATTGCTAATTAATCTCTCTATGATATATCATTATACACATTAAAATAAGTTGGCAGAATTATGAAAGAATAGATATGAACACCTATGTACAACTCCAGTGTTTATATGAAACGCTTTTTAAATACATTTTTATGCCATTTGTCTACCTTTTAAAATAATCAAGAATTATTAAGATTTTTTATTAAAAAGAAAACCTCAAAGGCTTGGTTTTTATTTGAGTAAATGTTTAATATTATGGTTTTTCTTAATCAAACCAAACTTCTAATTATAATTCTGTAGATTAATGATAAAAGAGGACAACACAAACATAATACCGTAACAAAATGAGTTACACAAACTGCAGTTCCTACCAGGTCATTTGAAAAATAGAATAGTTCTACAATTGCATTTGCAGCTTGTTCAAAATAGCATTAAAGGATTGTTAAATTGTATTCTTTACATATGCTCTCTTTCACTGCAGATTTACAATATGGGGGTTGGAACTGCTGTGACTATACCCACATCTTAGATTCATTAAAGACTTGATTGAAGAAAAAATAGACACCGCTGTGTAGACAGGTATTTAGTTTTTTTGTTTGTTTTCATCTCCAAAGAAGAGGTGATTTTCCAATTATTACTACTAATGCCATATTATCCTGCATACCATTATTAATAGTATTTGGTCAAAGGTGTATATCACAAGACATCATATTACACGTATTCACACATTACACTGGTTCAACTCACTTCAGAAATTATTTTTCAGTTTCAGCTCTTTTTAGAATGCATCTTATATTTTTCAACAACTTAGTAAAATCTTCTGGATGCTATGATAAATGGATATCTGCAACAAGAGGTTAACAAATGTGAGGTCCTTTTCATAAATCTCCTGATTTCCATGACATGTAAAAACATGAAAAAATCAATGGGTCAGAGAAAAGGGTCCTTTTTGTGTCCATTTAGCCAAGACTGCCAATCACCAAAATTCTTTTCAGAGAACCAATGAACCTGCAAATCCTGTTTCTTTTAGAAAATCAGCAATCATCCTGGATATTTTTCTGTGTATAGTTTTCCTGCTTGGTGTAATATTGGACTAAAACTGCTTAAACAGTCACCTTCTTCTGCTGGTCCTTATCCAATGAAAGGAACAAGACTTTGGCTTCAGACAGGGGTGGACTCTGTTGACTGCAGTAGTTTTAAAACCTCAGCTGAAATATACAGTGCAACTTGAAAGTTGGTCCTGAAATGGCACAGAATCACAAATCATTTAGGTTGAAGAGACCTCTGAGATCATCACATCCAACCTATGACTGATTACCAACTTGCCAACTAGCCCATAGCACTAAACGCCACGTTAGTTGTTTCCTGAACACCTCCAGGGATGGTCACTCCACCACCTCCCTGGGCAGCCCATTCCACGGTTTAACAGCCCTTTCAGTGAAGAAATTTGTCCAGCCTGGACCTTCCCTGGCTCAGCTTGAGGCTATGTACTGTCCCTTATTGCTTGGGGAAAAAGACTAATTTCCTCTCCAGCCACACAGTCCTTGTAGGTGGTTGTAGAGAACAATAAGGTCCCCCCAAACCTCCTTTCATCCTGGATGAACAACCCCAGATCCCTCAGTACTCCTCATAGGACTTATCCTCTAGAAAATTCACCACTTCTGTTGTCCTTCTCTGGACTTGCTCCAACCCCTCAGTGTCTTTTATGCAGTGAGGGGCCTGGAACTGGACACAGGATTTGTGGTGCCACCAGGGCCAAGTACAGAGGGATGATCCCAGCACGCTGTTGCTGATACAGGCCAGGATGCCATTGGTCTTCCTGGCCACTGGGCACATGCTGGCTCATGTTCAGCTGCTCTCAACCAGCACCTTCAGGTCCTTTTCTACCAGGCCTCTTTCCAGTCACTGTCATCCCAAACTGTAGTGCTGCATGGCATTGTTGCAGCCAAAGTGTAGGACCTGTCACTTGGCCTTGTTGAATCTCAGGTCCTCATGCTGTCACATCTCCCCAGCCAGAATTGCAACAGAAATGATACAGGAGAATCAAAGGATATTGATAGTCTAGCTATTGAAACAGCAAAAGAGGAATGTTCAAAACCCAGTGTTTATGGCATGTAGATAAGAAAATTAAGATGATTTCTGTGCTGGTACATGCAGTGTACTAAGGAGAAGAAAATTAAGAAGAAGAAAATAAAGGACAGCCCACACCCTGAACAGGATGGGCAAAGGTACAAAGAGAGACAAAAGGTACACAAAGGTACAGAGAGAAAGGAAAGATAATCAAAATTATGCATAAAGTTTGAGGGGGTTCAGAAAGAATAAAACAATTGATGGAATAAAAAATATAATTTAGGTCAGCTCCTATGGGATATAAAACACATATCAAAACTATCATGGCTGCCAACATAGGAAAAAGTTGAGATCCATGGTAACGACTCAGTATGTTCACTACCCTCCATGGCATCACAGGAAATCCTGGCAAGGCCACCTCAGTACATGCATGAATGTTGTACAGACTATTTGGACAAACACATTCTCCACTAGTTATGAGAATGTGCATATGGGCATGAATCTGAAATAAAACCATGATTCCCTCCTACAACATCTCATGAGAAATTTGTAGCAAGAAGTCAGTATTATTACCTAAAAGGTCTCAAGATGCAAGAGCTAGGAAGGTGCAATCACCTGGTACTAATGGGAATGCAGCAATATCTAATCTGCTACTTTGCTAATGATTGCAAGCCCACAACCACAAGATCCCGTAAATGAGTGTCTGTGGTGGGTAGACCATGGCTGGATGCCATGTGCCCACCCAAGTCACTCTTATCATTCCCCTTCCTCAACTGAACAAGGGAGAAAAAAATTAAAAGAGCCTCACAGATTGAGATAAGGGTAGGAAGAGATCACTCATTAGTTACTGTCATGGGCAAAATCAGATTTGACTTGGGGAAATTAATTTATTACCAGTCACATCAGAGCAGGGTAATGAGGAATAAAACCAAATCTTACAACACATTCTCCTCACCTGTCCCTTCTTTCCAAGCTCAACTTTACTCCTGATTTCTCGGGGAATGGGGACTGGGGTCAGTTCATTGCACATTGTCTCTACTGCTCCTTTCCCCTCTGAGGAAGAGCTCCTCATACTCTTCACCTCCTGCAGTGAGACAGTCTCTGAACTTCTTCAATATGAGTCCTTTCCGTGGGCTGCAGTTATTCATAAACTCTTCCACTGGGTGCAGTCCTTCAGGCACAGCCTGCTCCACCCTCCAGTGTGGATCCACTGCAGGGTCACAAATCCTGCCCAGCAAACTTGTTCCAGCATGGGCTCCTCTTTCCACAGGTCCTGCCAGGAGCCTGCTCCAGCATGGGTTTTCCATGGGGTCACAGACTCTGTCAGGCATCCTTCTGCTCTGGCATGAGGATCCTCCACAGGCCACAGGTGGATCTCTGCATCCCTGCGGATCTCCTTGGGCTGCAGGGGCACAGCTGCCTCACCAGGGGCTGCACAGGGGCTGCAGGGGAGCCTCAGCTCTGGCACCTGGAGCACCTCCTGCCCCTCCTTCTGCACTGACCCTGGAGTCTGCAGAGCTGTTCCTCTCACATGTTCTCACTCCTCTCTCTGGCCGCAATTGCTCCCATGCAGTATTTTTTCCCCCCTGTCTTAAATACATTATCCCAGAAGCAGAAGTGCTACCATCTTTGCTGGTGGGCTTGGCCTTGAACAGGGATGGGCTCATCTTGGATCTGGCTGACATTGGCTCTATCTGACACGGAAGAAACCTCTAGCAACTTCTCACAGGAGCCACTCCTCCATCTTCCCACTACCAGAGCCTTGCCAACCCACTACATTATTTAAAGAAAGCCTGGACTTCTTCTATAAGGAAAGAATAATATAAACATGTAAATTAGGAAACAGTTCTTTTCACGGCATCCAGAAGAATTTGTAAAATTAGTTGCATGACAGAATAATCAGACATTATTCTGATATGGTCAGTTGATGAACCAAAAGTTTCATCAACTGACCATATCTGCATACTATTTTTAAACAGTTAATTTTTCAGTATTCAAAAGTTCCAGTATTTGGTTTTACTTCCTTATAAGTCTATATAAAATGTTTGGCACTTTAGAACAACAAGGGCATAAATCTGCTATGATTTCTTTCAGGGAACAAATGCTTCACTACTCTCTTAATGTTTTGATTTAGAACTTGGGTTTCCATGTTATTTATTTGTTTGTTTGTTTGTTTGTTTATAACAAGAAAAACAATAAACACCTGAACATAAATGCCTTTTTTATACCAGGAAAAAGTTAATTTATAATTGTCACAAAACATCTGAAAGGAAAATTAATTAGTACCATGCAAATAGGCATTATTCTTACATTTGGGCCTAACATGAAATGGAGAATGTCTTACATTTGAACTGCTAGTTCTGATACCTGATATCTTCAGACAGCTATGGATAGCCTATGTAAACACATAAAGAACAGTAGGATCAGTTTTGTTTCAGGTAAAGGGGTCTTACACAAGATCTGTCTAATAGAACTTATGTGTTTCTGAGGAGCTCCATAAAGCAGAATGTCAACAATTAAAGGTCTAGCTGCAGCACTCTAATATGAACAGAAAGACAAATACATGCAAATAAATATTTTTCAAGTGATAAAAGGGGCAAGAATATTATATTCTAGCAGCAAGACTTATCAAAATGTTGTGGTAGAAAAAGATAAAAAGATTCTACAAACATATCTTTGCCAGTAACTAGGAAAAAAGTGCAAAGCCTATTTATTTTTCCCTAGATTAACGAAATAGAGTACATAAATATTGAGATCCAGGAATATAGTGTAATCTTGCATATCCTCAAGGTTTTCTGAAATTTAAAAAAAAAAAAAAAGACAAGTAATAAAGGCCAAAAGTAGAGGTATTACAGTCAGTTAAAATTACACTGCAATAGGAAAACCAGAATTTCCTCAAGTGGCACCAAGCCGACAGAAATAATAAAAACACTACCTTTATCAGCCATCTGACGCTTTCCTTTATAGAAAGAGATAAGGACAGGAGAGATGTTTGCTGCTTCCAATACTTCATTGATTTCAAGTCACAAAGTATGCCTGTACCAGAGGTACAAGATGATGTTAACCTCATCCTACAACTGCAACTTAAACTGGAGTCAAGCAGTGGGTGTCTATGGACCTCTTTAATGCATTTCCACTGAAAGTATTTTTTCTTTCAAATAATGGAATGTATAGAGATATGAGCAACTTCACAACAGCATTTTTCTCCCAGACATGCAGGCAATGAAAAAAATACCACTATCATCTGAACAATGCACATTTTCCTTTCTTTCTCCTAAAATTACAACCATTCATAATCACAGAGCTGGTACGTTCAAAATATAAAAGAAATATTACATTATTTAAGCTATCCTTTTCCCAGTGATTTTTTCTTTTTTTTTTGTTTCAGTGTTTCAAATATTTTTGCTTTAAAGTTTCAAGTCTAAATGATGCTACCATAGGAAAACTATTTGTCTTTCAGTCTAGATATTAATTTTCCTGATTTCCCACTTTCATATTTATTTACAATTTCTGTTGTTATTTTTGAAACCACTTTTTTTCTATGAATTTACAACTTACAGACAGATAAGTTGTATTTCTTCACAGCTGCCTTCAAAACAATCCTAAACCAAATTAGTCAGTTTTGTAACAACATATTATTTGGTAAAGCTGTTAAGTAGCAATGAATGTAAAACTATACAAAGGACTACTTCAGAATCAAGACATGACTGCTAAAAGGCATAATTTTCACTTTTCTTTGGTTACAAATCAGAACTTATTGTACCTCTCTGCAAAGACTGTGTGGTTTGTAGAAAATGGAGCCTTTATCAGCACATTATGAATGAGATATGTAATGATTTTTCCATGAACCCAGAACCTTATTTTTCAAAAATCTTAGGGAAAAAAATTATTATTATATTTGATCAGAACATAGCTTGTACATGAACTATTGATCCATTGCATTATTTCATGCTCTGCAAGGCAAGAGAGTCTCTTTATCAGCTGCATTTGCCATGGTAAATTTCTTAAAAAGAACACACTTTGATAAAAGGTAAGGGAATCTCACATAAAATCATGTCCTTGTGATATCATCTGAAAGAGGCAGATCTGGAACCAATTTATTGAGTGTAAATTACTGCCAATTTTGCTTTGAATAACAAAATGCTCCAGAGATTTCTGAGATATGTAGCTATTGGGAGCTGTCTGAGGATTTTTATACATGAGGATTTTTCTACATTTCTTTAACACATCTTTCAACTTAATCAGATACAAAACATGCACAACCTAGCATTCAGGGAAATTATGTGGATTTGTCACACTTCCTGAAGGACTTTGGGCTCCATGAACCAATGAATGGATCACACTGAACCATGAATGTAGTTTGTTCATCTGTAACAGAAAAAACATGGATATTTGCCACATAAATGTTCCAAAATCCCAGAACAACAAATAATTCTAACGGAATTTATTTTAAGTTATTCACTAAAATTTGTTAATATTCACTTTATTTTCCAGAACAGAGTAAGATAGCATGAGTTGTGTGTATATGAATAGGACTGTAACAGGCAGAACTGGTAAACTGTACTGCTGAATTATTATGGATTTCCTAATTGTAATTCAAAATCTCAGATGAAATATAAAGGCAAAAGCCTTGTGTGCTAAAATGCCTGGTAAAAAATACAGTGATGGACCTCTTTCATCCCTGTAGTCCACACTTGGCATTGTTTATCACTGATTATAATTATAATCACAGGATGGTAAAAAACAACTTAATTCAGCAGTGCACATCTTTTGAAAAAAAATATTCTGAATGTTTTTAAAATAGACTTTAATTGTGAGGATTTGTATGCACTGATTTGAACAAACATAAGAGGCAAGGCAAGGAAATGGAAGAAAAGGAGACATTTAGAACCAAAATAACAAAAAAAAAGTATGCAAGATCAGCCATCAGATGCTGCAAATAAGTAAACCTTGCTAAATAATTATCTGAATCACTAATTTGTTGAAAAACTATAGCTCTTTTCAACTTGCTGGTGAATCCAACATCACCTCCCTTGGGCAGCCATCAGGTCTTAGCAGGTCAAGAGTACACCATGCAATAAATGAGAAACCAGACATAATTTTGTAAAGCATACCAAATCCACTTGCTTATTTTGTCAAAGTTAACAATCCATGTATCAGGTTTGCACTAAGAAAGATGTTTTCAAGGGCTTATGTTAAAAGTTAACATGCAATACACTGAATTGTATCCAATGTATCCTATTTTAAAAACACAAGAGACTGAAATGACCGCAAAGGCTTAAAACTGTTGTCCCTGGTAACTAAAATATAAGACCTAGTTTATTTAAGGACTTCTCCAGCCTACTGAAAATAAAATTATCTTGTTTATTTTAACTTCTTCACTTCTGTGTAAAAGTCCAACTATTGCCTGGCTGTGGGCAGTGAACACTGTGGGCAGTGAACACTGTGGGCAGTATCAGGTGAGCAGACCAAGCTCTGTGTCCATGCCCAAGAAACTGGAGCAGACCATGAGTAACCTCCTCAGAGATGAGCTGCTGAGAGAAAGGATTGTCAGAGCCCAGCTAAAATCAGAGCTCTAACAAAACAGACACAGAGAAATCCCACCCACTGTAGAAATGGGGATGGGGAGGTGATGGGGTGGGAAGGATTAAATGAACTTGATTTGTCCAGAAATCATACATTTCAAAAAGTAGGGTGTTCTGTGAATTTGGGATCAAGTCATGAAAACTGAAATACAGACGTGTTATTCATGAATCCTTATATTAATATCACAGGCATTTTATCATACTGGTTTGTTTCCTCATCTGGAACAATATTGAGTTCAGGAAATTTGCATTGTGCTGCCACCAGTAAGAAAGAATAATTAAAACTACAGAACTGAAACCACATTGCTTCTGTAAATTTGTGTGGAGTTCAGAACTCAACAGGTGCCTGGATCCAGAAGCTCTGCCTCTTACACGAGCATGCCATTTCTGGAAGAGTAAGAAATTCATTGCCTCCAGCTACCAATTACTTCAGCACTTGTAAGCCTCATGCCTCCCTCTTAGACAGGATTTTACTGATGTGAAAGCAGATGTCTTGGCTCTCAGCTCCTTCTGACTGCAATGGTAGCCAATTCCTGCTGCATTTGGAGCCACACCTGCCTTTTTTTTTTTAACTTCAAGCCCAGAAGATAATTCACAATTTGACTAAACCAGGCAAAAATTACTAAAAAATTACCCCTAAACAAATTATGGATCAGAGCTTTTTTTTTTTTCCTTTTTACAAAGCAAAAATACCATGACACTATTCCTTCCTGAATTTATGAGACTGAAGTACAGATGATGGGCTATGCAGTCTTAGATAACCTGTGGTTCATCTTAACGTATAAACAATGTCATCCAGCCTCACCCCTGCTCTTAAACCTTTCTGCAACCAGAATGACAATGCAGCCATCAGGATACCCTAAAAACAGAGCTCACCTCCTCAAAAGTGGTTAGGCAACCCTAGTCCTGTCTCCTCTTTAAAGCAATTAAAATAAGAGCAAGGGAAAAGGGAAGGAGTTTTATTTTTACCAGTGAGCTGCAAATATTTTCTCACTCAGGAACTTTACCTGTATATTTAATTTAAAAACTATATATTTTTATCTGTGAGCTGGGCTGTGGGGGAAAAACAGGACTTAAAACAATCCCAGCTAATTAGAGATCCAGCAAACTCTTTGTGTGTTGTTGATCACAACACTTGTGGCAGTTTGGGGAAAGGCTACAGATTTTTATTACAGCAGTTGAGGAGCAGTTAACCATTGATCCAACAGAAAGAAGGCTGCTGATTAGGGAACTGTTAAAACATTTGCCGGCAGAATTTTAAATTTTGTGGGAAGGACAAGGGTGATTCTTTACTTTTCAAATTCTCAAATAGGTAGACAAGATACAGCACATATAAATGAGGGTTGTTTTCTAAAGGCTGAATCACATCCTTAAAAAATCTGACCAATCTGCTTGTATATGTGGTCATAAACACACATAAACCTGTGAAGTCTATGTTTCAGATCCATATAGAAGTTATATATGGATAGATTAGATAGATGACAGATGATAGATAAATAGATAGATAGATAGATAGATAGATAGATAGATAAAAAAGCAGAGTGGAGAGGAGAGAAGACCATGGAAAGAGAATTGATGAACTTTACACATGGTTTATCTTACCTCATTTCAGCCATCTAAAACATAGATCCAAAGTAGCTCACCATAGGCTGCCCTTATGGTGAATGGCCAAAAAAAAAAAGAGGAGCCCAAGGAAGGGAGATATCCCATTCTAGGACTTGATGTAAGGGAGACAAGGTGAAAAAAAGGAATGTGGGTAGGTGACACCAGACACCCAATTTTGCCTGGAATCTTCCAGAGTGGTTCTCAC